AAAAAAAAAAAAAAGGTCAATAAGTTGACAAAAGCACAAGATTAGAGTACAACTTAGAGTCTCTGACATAATTTTTATAATATTCTGCCACTACCCAGCATATGCAATGTTCTCTTCCTATAGCTCTCTTTTCCCTCTCTTCCTCAGTTATTTTTCTACACTTATCTTTTCACTTTTCATCTCTCTTTTCATTTTCCTCAGTTGATACCTGTAGACATTGTATACCTCCACTTCTGTCATTTATCCCCTCATCTTTAAGACATTTAAGTCCTACAAATGGATGATTACATATTCCAGTAAAAATCTCCTAAGCTACTTTTTAAAAGTTCTGTACAATGTAATGGTGCTGTTAGGGTTTTGAAAACTATTTCTTCTAATTTGTTTCAGATGGAAAAAGTCACTTCCTAATCATATGTATTAAACAGTAGATACATGCTGTTTAAGGATCTCAAAATACATGTAATTTAACTATTTTTTAGTTAGATTTCTTTCACAGGTGATGTTTTCAGCTTTCTAATTTCTAGAAATACCATGTTTTCAATGACTGAAAGAAGTTCAAATTACAACTATAAAATATGTTTTTATTTGCTGGGGTTTAAAGGTAAATAAATGGATGCATGCTTCCTTCATAAAAGCTATTTCTTTTTAGTTCATTAATAACTCATTAGCAAAATAACGAATACTACCATTATAAGAAAAAATCCATTGATAAAATAAGTTGAGCAATATTACGTGGCATTCAACAATATGACATTCTGTTTTACTTTATGCTTTTAGTTTTGGAAATACAGTAGAAAAAACTCATCACAGAAATATGCTAATAGCCCACAAGATGGAAATCTTTCCTTATAAAAGTAGGCTTCTCCTCAGTTTCAGAATAAGATACTTCCCTTTTCCTCCATTTATTTCAGTTCAATAAATAGTTATTGAGTAGATAGTATATAGAGATACAAAAATAAATAAAGTCTATACTTTTGTAGACTTTATAACAGAGCTTATAGCAGAATCTGTTGGAAGAGACAGACTCATAAACCTGTAATTTGGACACAGAGTGATGAATGCTGTGATAGAAGTTTATTCATGGTGCTATGAGAGCAACAGCATGTACAAGGAGTAGTGAGCTTTGACTAGAGATCAAGGATGGCTTCTTTTAGGAATTAATGCTTGAGTTAAATTTCAAAGGAGGAATACGAGTTTGAAGCAGCATGAGACTTATAGAAAACTTTGAAAAGAGGCTGGAGGCTGGACAGTTAGGCCAGACAGTTTCCCAGATATATATATATATATCTCCATCCATCCATCTTTAGTTGCTATTTAATAAAGTTAAATACTTCCTTTTGTGGAATACGCCTTATTGAAAGAACATTTAAATCTGCAATAGTATTTGGGGTGCCTGGGTGGCTTAATCGGTTAAGCATCGGATTCTTGGTTTTGCCTCAAGTCATGATCTCAGGGTTGTGAGATCAAGCCCTCTTTTGGGCTCTGTGCTGAGCGGGGAGTCTGCTTGGGATTCTTTCCCTCTTTCTCTCCCTCCCCTTTGCCCCTCCCCCTACTCGCTTGCTCTCTCTCTTCCTCTCAAGTAAATAAATAAATACAATCTTTAAAAAATCTGTTGCAGTATTTGAACTAAGTTATATATGCATATTTGTTCCTAACTTGTATATATTTTCCTTAAATTTTTAGTGCATTACTTTAAGAAACTAAACCTATATATTTTGCAAACTGATTGAATTAGAATAAATTCTGAATGGAACCAATTAGGTTTTTTTCATTCAAGTGTCTTTTTGTAATTATTTGTTATCTTTTTTCCATCTTTTATAGGGTTCCCGTACCTCAGCCAGAAACTTCTGCACAGACAAAAGGAAATAAACCAGACATGCCAAGCATTTTCCAACGTATGTTGCTTTGATGATGATTATTATTTATGAAATCTTTATGGAACATTATTATATACAGATTACTATTTGATTTTATTCTGCATTTTTGTGTCATGCCTCTCTCTAGCATAATATAAGTACTTTAAATAGATACATAATGTTACTTTTTTTTGTTTTTTATTTACATTAGTTTAGGTCCTTGTCAAAAGTACTGGTCTCAATTTTAAAACAATTTGGTATCATCACCAAAGTGAAAGTAAATATAAACAAGCCTATATTTACCAATTTGGTTATTTGATAATACATCCCTTCAAATATAGGGATTTTTAATTTTTAATTACCAGAAGAATAAAGTAGGAAGTTTAATTTTTATTTGAAAATAAATAAAGCTTAAAAGATAGTTTTAGTTCCTTTCTTTGCTAATGGGTTGACTGGTTTGAATATTGGGTTCATTTCTGAAGAAATTTCATAATACTATTTAGTTCCTTAGAGTGGTTTAAATCTGATCTTATAAGGGTCATCTCTCTGGACTAAACTTTTTAACATTTTATGTCTTTCTTGCTTTTTGAGTTATTCTTATCTTGAGGTTGACTTCTTGTCAATCTGGCAGATCAAGAATCCACAAAAGGATCTAAAGTCTGCATCCCCCCCCAAAAAAAAATTAAAACAAAGAAAATAAGGGGGGAAATCATTATAATATAAATATATGACCAAGCTCAGAACAAGAATGAAAAATCCTTAGGTGCCAAAAACAAAAGAATTTAAATTTAGCAGTGAGTAGGACTAAAACTAAAACTGCTCTCAGGCATTTCAGAACTAGATAGAGGCCTAATTGATTGTGGGCTGAGGTGTAATAACCATATGGAAAGGAGGGTCCAGACCACAAACCTCGTACATGTGAAGTAGGACTAATATAGAATTGGAAGGTTATGAAAGACCAGAGAAAGTAGGCCCATCAGCATGGGGAAGTGTCAAGGAGCTTCCTGTATCCTCTGGGCAATGGTTGGGAAAAAGTCCCACCTGAGAGAAATTGAAATCCCAGACCTGTGCAGCATTGAGGTGTGGTCACCGTTCAATTGACTATAATGGTGAGGACACTGAGCTAAGGAGTTAACAGTAGCATCTGGTCTGAAATCAGTGAAACCCTTAAAGTTTTGACAAAGGTAAGTGTGAAACTGCCTCAAAGGGAGACATCTTACAACATAGGGTATTTGGGACTCCTATAGAAAATGTCTACAGAAGATGAATTCATGGTTAAAAAATTACAAACGTTCCAAGAAAATGAACTTCTTTGAGGCAATGTGATCAGATGTAATGTGGGAAAATTTATAGCCTAGGAACTAGAAATAACTAAACCAATCAGAAAGAGGCTTTAAAATAAATACGTGTTTAAAAAGTTAAAGGAATGAACAGAAACTGTAAGTTAAATATATAAATACATA